AAGCTTGTGCCAGCTGGTATTAGAGGTAGGTATGAAACAGTGGAATCGCCTCTCACCTCTATAACCTGGGTACCAGGACCCAGGTGAGGGGGACCATGAAGGAGGGGAAGAGGGGATAATCTTTTCCTCTCCTCCCTCCCCATGAGCATGATACTCAGGGTTYGTGTTCAATCCCTTGACTTAAGATCACATGTGAGAGGAGTTTTGTTTGTTAGGTCACACTCCCTCGTGATTCGAGGGTTTTTCGAGGGGAAGAGGGGATCTTCAAATCCTCATGATTCGAGGGTTTTTAGCCTTTTAGTTAGRTCAAACTCCCTCATGATTCAAGGGTTTTTCTTTGGATTCTCCTTTAACTTCCCTAGCCTATTAGATAACAATAAAAGAACTATCATTCGACTGTATTCTCCTTACCGACAAATGGTGGACCTCCAGCAATGGCTACAGAGAACACCATGTAACCCATCCCAAGACCAATGGCACTTTTTTCCGGTTCGAGTATGCTTTGTAAAAATACGTTTTGCCCTGTAATGAATCCTCCACTGATGATCCCATATGCAACTGAAAATATCACAAAATGGCTGTATTCTTTGGCAAGTGCARAGAGAATGATAGCAATTCCCATTGCAAGTGAACATAATTGGGCCACTTGAAGGGCTGTCAACCACTTCTTGTCAATAATTTGGCCAATCACAACACGAGAAACAGTGGAGGTACTACCAATGTATATGAACAGAAAGGAAGCATCTTTACTGGAGATATTAAGGTCTTTGGCAAATCGAACCTGTTGAAAAAGAAAGCATCATTGCAAACTGTTCCTAAATAAATAAGAAGCTTAAAATAGCACAACGCATCACAAGGGTATGAATTGGGGGAGGGTGTCCTGCTGTCAGTTTGAGTCAAAATTTTGCTTAATTTAACTGATATTTTTTGTCAGTTCAATTTCAGGCAATTTATGAGTTATTATCAGAGGTTAGCAAACAAAAAAAAAAAGATCATAACTTACCAAATGAACAATAGGAACAAAAAATCCAAAAAAAGTCAGAGTTAATGCAACAAGTCCAATGGTATAAGATGCATTTGCAAACACTGTGCAGTCCAGAATACAAGAGCAACGTTTCTGTTGTTGGACCACCCCAACAAGCCCACTGTCCACTTTTATTGGATYATAAGTAGAAGAAAAAATACAAATAAATAGCATCATTCCAGCCATTACTCTAAAGGTATTTCTCCATCCAAAGACTTCAACAAGTTTTTCTGAAATAGGGCTGATAATCATGACCCCA